TACTCTTAACTCTGCTATTAAACCCCTGTGCCAGCTTGCAGAAGTCACTTAGCTAACAAAAAGATATGGGGACCTTATCTGTAAAACTGGAGATACTGACAGGGCTCTGCCCCCAGCGGCAGTAGGATGGTTCATTCCTTCATGTTTGTGAAGTGCTGACACTTCTTTAGGCTTAAAGGTACCATTTCCCTGCAAAGTGTTACGACTGTCTATGTATCATTAGACAAAAAGCCATTCACACCCCCTAGAGATGAAAGTAGATGCTATTTGTAGAAGCGAGGATTCTCAGAGGCACAAATAGTCCTGAGTTGTCTAACTTCCTGTGAAAGTCAATAAGCCATAGACACCTAATTGCCATTTGTTCAGTTGAAAATCTCCCCATAATGAGAACTGGCCAGAAATAGTATAGACACTTCCTAGGTCAAGTCATCTCTCAGGATTCAGTGGCTAGGTTGATGGAGAAATTCTTCTACCACCTTAGAGAGACTTACCCTCTGGTGTAGATGCAACTAAGCACAACCCACGGCATACAAAGCTTTTTCACAATCCTGAGCAATATAGCTAAATCAATTTAATTTTTAAATATAGACCAGGTCTATGCCAGAAAACATTTGCCAACATAGCCATACAGGTGTATCTAGGCTGGCAAGCACTCTTTAGAATAATCACAGCTTATAACCAAAAAAATAGTATAACTTATGCCAGTTCCCTGAATGAAAAACTATGCCAGTGTAAGAGTCACTCACTAACTGGCATGTCCCCTTCTGGCTTAGCTACCTGCCTTGCCGTGCCTATCTGACCCTACAGTGGTGTGCTTCATCTTGTGACTCAGCCAGCCCCTCTCCCCCATCCTAGGCAGTTCACTTTTAGTTCCTGCCCTTCCAAGGTAACAGTGTCCCACAAAACAATAGCCCATTGATTTTATACCAAGTCTTTGGTCCTTATATCAGGGCTTACGGGCCACCTTCCTCACAGCTAGAAGGGGAGGCCTCAACCTTCCCTCTCTTCCGGGTTCCTCTCCCAGGACCCTATAGCAGATAGCTAACAGGCTCCTTGCTGCCTTCCTCTGCCCCTGTCTCTAGGTGCTTTTCCCCAGCCCCTATCTTGGCTTACTCCTCCACAGACCTTCACCCCTTCCCCTGGGTCTGTAGAGCTCTTTGCAACTCCTGTACGGAACACTGCCTCCCTAGGGTTTCACCCTAAAAGCCTGAATGCCTCTCTGTACATCTCTTCCCACCTGAAATTCATCCCCTCAAGTTTTGCTTCCCTGGCAGCAGAGCTCACTTCACACTGTGGCTTCCCAGGATCTCTCTCAATCCTCTGCCAAAGCTCCCTTCTTGAGACAGGATCCTAAGGCCTACTCTCTCCCTCAGCCTCCTGATTCCTTTCTAGTGCTCAGAAGGCCTGCCTTCATTAGTGACCATGGCTCCTCACAGGTAGATAGATCCTTTAATCAATTCCCCCGCCCCCATCTGGGACAAATCTTTAATTAGGCCTGACCTATCCTCCAGGTGTACTGAGTGCACTACCTGCTCTCTGGGTCTGTTGAATTATTTTTGTATTACTGGGGCACATACATCCCATTGGAATAAAAAAAAAAACACTTTATTTAATCTTTTGTAGAAATGAAGCCATGTATGGAGCTAGTGATGAGATTTATTTTAAACTGATGTTTTTAAGAAAGAATATGTAATACAAGTGAGTGCCTTTCCCAACCTGCTCTTGAAACACAGTCTACACATTGTGTAGAATCCAAACAGCCTCTGCCTGGTATTTGATTCCAAACATAGAAATTAACAACATAATATACAGTGTTGCTCACACTATGTATTGCCTACCTTTAAGATTCCTCCTTCTGGCTTGCTCAGCCCACACTTTAGATCCTCTCTTTCTAGAGGACATCCTCTCCACCTCCCTAATATCCAGGAAGGTAAGAGACACCTGCATCATTAATCAGAAGGGCCCATTTAGCACTTCCCAGCAGGATCAACACCAGTGAACAGTGTGGGTGTTAGACATGGCCAGCCTGCAACATGGACCCAGTAATTTTTGTTTTCCCCAAATTTCCTTAAATGACAAATTACACTGAATAGAAACAGCAAGACTCTTTTAAAAAATAATTATATTCATTATATATGTCACACAATGTGTGTGGTTATGATAATCATCATATACATGCTGTTGTTTCTACAATGTGTGGTATACATTTCAAACCTTTGCATGCTATAAATTGGTTTTGTACGGTGCTTATGGATGTCACTAATCCCTCCCTCCTACTAAAGATACCATTGTTTCCATAGTAACTAGTGTACTTCAAAGAGGAAAAAAGGCAGAGGAGACTAAAAACTGATCAAAAACAAGACAAATACCGTGTAGCATAAATAGACTTTCTGTCAAGCTGGGATGCTGGGGGAGGGGAGAGTTGCATTACTACTTGCTTAGGAGAAGTGCTTTATCCACTCCTATGCTTGTGACCCTACAGTAAGGTAACATTTGAATTCAGATTTCTCATTGATGAAGGCTAGCACACTAACCCATGCCCCCAAAATAGCAGAAGGAAAGCTCAAGATAGATATTTCCAAATAGAACAACTATTCCATTAGATAGTTCCAAATAGAACAACTGTGGCAAAATCAAAGATCAGAGTCCCAAGACTCCCAGAAGTTGGGAAAGTTTGTACACAAGTCTGAACCTTGCAGGAGACCTGCTGTCAGGGCTGTACCCCATTCTGGAACTCCAAGTGCAGAAGGTGAGGGGCTGCAAGAGAGCTTTAAAACCTTGCCTGTATGGGCACTGGTTATAAAAAACTTTCCCTCCAGAATCATAATACACAGATTTTGGGGAGCCACTGCCACTATCAAGTGCTTTTTGATCCCTAATAACCAGGGTTGAACACTTGAAATCACCTGAGGGGTACCCCAAGATCTTTTGCCCCAAAAGAGCTTGAAAAAAATAAAAGAGAAAACCAAGCTGCATTCTCTGGTAGCTGACCCTTCAGTCAGAAGTATGCAGATACACACAGACCCTTTCAGGACACAAGAATCAAATAATCACCTTAAAAGAAGTGATTTTTATTACAGAACAGAAGATAAACTTGATAAAGCATACTTGATTGCTAAATGTTACAGAGCAACTAAGGAAAACTAATTTAAACAGAGAAAAACTCTGGCACAATGCTTAGATAGTAAAGGGGGAGGGAAGGCATAGGATATCACAGAGCAGTTCAAACCAAACTACAAAATAAAGAAAAATTACCCTGAATGTAACTGGATTCACATTTCTCTTTAATTACTTCTAATTTTCTCTTTGTTCAGTCCACTACCATGCCCATAATCCCTGGGGACTAGGGATGAGAAAGGCTTTTCGGACAGTTGACATGCTAGTTGACTAGTAGGTTCTCCCCGCATCTGCCTCTATCAGAAATAGGAAGCAAGGGGGGAAGAAGATGGGGTACTTCAAAGCAGCAGTGCCGCTTGAAATCTAGGGCCAGACCCCGGGCTCCATGCAGTGCTGCCGCTTTGAAAAGCTGCGTGCAGCCCAGGGCCAGCTGGGGTATTTCCAGACTGCACGCAGCATTTCAAAGCGGCAGTACCGTGTGGAGCCCGGGATCAGCTGCAGACTCCCCCACTGACTCTGGGCAGTGCTGCTGCTTTGAAATGCTGTGGGGAGCCCGGTATCAGGCTGCACACAGTGTTTGAAGCAGCAGCACCCCATGGAGCCCAGGATCAGCTGGAGTCCCCAGCTGATCCCTGGCTCCACACGGGGCTTTCAGACCTATGGCTGTTGCCTCACTTCAAAGGTGACTAATCGAATAGTTGATGCAAAATGCATTGACTATTTGATCAGTCAATTAGTTGATATTTAACATCCTTAGTGGGGGCATGGTAGTCCTGCCTGGATTTAAATCATTCTATGTCTCTCAACTCCTGGTTTATCTCTCCCACACAAAAAGAGCAGGCAGGGAACCTATATCCAATTCAAATTTCAACCCTCTATCTCGATTAGTTCTCCTGGCCCCTTGGCAAAAACCTTTGCTAGCTACCTGAGTTAATCCCTTAGTCACTGGGTGCTGGTCAGCACTCCTCCTGTTCATTACACCGGCTTTGCCTATAATAATCTAATCCAATATCCCAAATCTTGTATCTCTCTAGGTATATATACTGTGCCCCCCACCATAGCATCTGAGTACCTGCATCTTAATGTCCACAAACTCTGAACTTGGTACAGTATCTACTTTCTGTCTCTATAGCAGGCCAGTCCGAACTCCAGAACTGAACAGTCCCTGAACTTCAGAGCAGTCAAAGACTAGAGTTAAACTCTGTGGCTGTGTCTAGATGGGCAGGTTTTTCCACGGAAAAACTTGCCAGCTGTCTACCCTGGCCGTTTGAATTTCCGCAAGAACACTGATGATCTCATGTAAGAATTGCGGAAATACTGTGCTGCTCCCGTTCGGGCAAAAGCCCTCTTGCGCAAATCATTTGTGCAAGAGGGCCAGTGTTAACAGCACAGTACTGTTTTCCGCAAAAAAGCCCCGATCGCGAAAATGGCTTTTTTGCGGAAAACCGCATCTAGATTGGCCACGGACCAATCTAGACGCCAATCTAGACGCGCTTTTCCGAAAATGCTTTTAACGGAAAACTTTTCCCTTAAAAGCATTTTCGGAAAATCATGCCAGTGTAGACGTAGCCTGTTAGTCTGCTTGTTTCTACTGATGTGGAACCAACCTGCCAAGACAAGATCTGGGCAGCCATAAGTTTTCTTAGCTGTCCTGTGTGTTGTACTGTGTATTTCTATAGGACATGCATACTATCCATTCTGTAGGTATGTGGGATGGAGACTGTATGGGACCAGATATATGCAATGAGCCGTGTGTGTGCTAACCTACCCACATGTCTAGCACATTTGTGATGCACCCGTATCTGGCGTATGTAGGTGCCAAGTAAAATGTTACTATTGCTCTACTTGATGTAGCAGGATTGTTTTCCTTTCCCCCAACACAGTTGGCCATGGGCAGAGTGAAGGTGACCGCATGGTTGTGTCAGATTTCCACATTTTCATCAGAGACAGCTTGCAACACATTGAACTCATGAAAAAGGATCATCCAGACCTTCCAGTTTTTATTCTGGGGCATTCCATGGTAAGCTCGCGACACTGTACATCTTAATAATAATCATTACATCCATCTGCCACAGCAGTTCAGGTCCTCTTCTAGGGCAGGGATGGGTAAGAGCCCGTCAGCGGGCTGCATCTGGTCCACTTAGCTCTTTTTTCTGGCCTGCCCAGCAGTTCCTGGCCCTGCCCCCTAACGCATTGTCTGGGAGCTGGGACACACGAGTCCTTTCAACTAATTCTATTTAAAGGGCTCGCGCCTTCCCCACAATTTCCAGGAAACAGCTGAAAGGGCTCTGGCTCCCAGGCAACATGCTAGCTGTGAGGCCAGAAGCAGTGAGCCCTTTAAATAGCAGAATTTGAAAGGCTCACAGCTCCCGCTCCCTCTAATGTGATTCCTGGGAGCCCTTTCAATTCCAGCTATTCAAAGGCCCCGCCCTTTCTGCCCAAGGCCCCGCCCACCCTCCACCCACAACTACTTCAAAAATTATTGCCCACCCCTGTTCTAGGAGACAGAAATCATAAAGTAACAAACAATAGAACCTCAGAGTTATTATATGACTGATCAACCACATACATCATATAGAACCAGAAACATATAACCAGGCAGGAGCAGACAACACAAAAACAAGTACAGTTCTATGTTAAATGTAAACTATTTTTTAAAAAATAAAGGGAAATTTTAAAAAAAAGATTTGACAGTGTAAGGAAACTGTTTCTTGCTTGTTTCATTTAAGCTGCTTAAAAGTAGCATTTTTTTTCTGCATAGCAAAGTTTCAAAGCTGAATAAGTCAATGTTCAGTTGTAAAGTTTTGAAAGAAAACCATAACATTTTTTTCAGAGTTGAGAACAACCTCCACTCCTGAAGTGTTCTTAACACTGAGGTCCTACTGTACAAGCTTCCCCCCACTGCCTTGCCCCCACAGGGACCCTCATCTCTAGAAGGGACAACTTGAGTCACTATGGCCCATTTAGGCCTTGACCTTTCTGTTGAGATGAAGATGCTAATGAATGCCATTTGCAACAATGGGCTAATTCATGATTTACATCCCTACCAGCCCACTAAGAGGACCCTAAGTTCAACCATCTCATTCCTTGTGAAGCAATGAATAATTGTCAGAGAGTAACTTCTTTGATTTGCCAGCAAGCCGGCTTGTATTTGAACCAGTAACCAGGAAGCTATATGCTCTGTGTCCTTGTGAATGGACTGGGAATAAAACATGGAAACACACTGTAGCCTCATTCAGTTACACAACTGTACTAGAAAATGTTGAGAGGATTAGAGATGAAAAAACAAAAGGACTGGTTTTGTGAGTAGATTTTAAGTTAGATTTGGATGGTATAGGTCAGCTCTTGAGTATTCAATCAAGCAGTATTCTTATAGGTGTCACAGTGATTGCCCCATGTATACAAAAAATGAATAAGCACTTCGGGATTTAATCCCATGTTCAGATAAACAAGAATTCTGATCTAAAGTGCATGGCATGCTTTTAAGTGTTCACTGTGCTCTAAGCCTCTGTAACAAGGAACTAATTTCCAAGTACCAAGCCAAGTAAGGTCATTGGGATTCTTCTTGCTGCTGCTCCATTTAAACACGCCAACGATTCTTCAGCAGTGTGTAAGTTCACCAAGCATTTTCCTTGACAACTAATCCTCTGTGATCTTTATTGAAAAGTGAGCCAAGCTCCTCCCCCTCTCCTCCAATTCCTACAGTTTCTGCAGAAGTCTGGCCTACACTTGGCTTGAAACTATATGGGAATATGCCACTGTTGAACTTGCTGCCCATGAGTAAGTCACTGATTGTAGAGCTCTTGCTCTGGGTGGAGGAGGGGATGAGGAAAGGGACTTTTGCAAGAGGATAATTTTGGGCCTATAGTAATCACCCAAATGTTTATGGTTTCTCTTCCCAGGCGGCAATGCTTTGTTACCCATGGGTACCTGTATAACTCCAAAAGACAGGGTACAAAAGTCTGCCTGCCTTTCTGCTACCTTTGTGTCCTACTCCCACTCATCTCCACACCTTCTGTCATGCAGCACCTCTCTGATCCAGTCCACCATGTCCCCACTGATACTATTTCCAAGTGGCATTTAATTTTTAGTCCTCCCCACAGAGACCTGTTCAAGCCCTGAACCTGCAAACACTTTAAACATGAATAATCCAGTTAAATTCATGGGACTGCTCATGCAAATACAGTTAAGCACATGCATAAGAGTTTGCGGGGCTGAAGCCAGAGAATGTGTCACCCTCATCCTCTAAAAACCATCCCCACAAAATAACAAATCTACCCTTTTACTTCTAGCTACTCTATCTTTTGCTTGCACAAAGGCTGGTCTACATTACATGGGAAGGTCAAAGTAAGATACACAACTCTAGCTACGTAAATTACGTAGCTGCAGTCGAGGTATCGTACATCACATTTCCATGCTGTCCACACAGTGGAAAGCTAATTGGAGCAAATGCTCTTGTTGGCTTCCCTCACTCCTTGTGAGGAGCAGGCGTATTGGTGCCAACGGGGGTGCCCTTTGAGTTCAATCAAATAGGTCTATACTACATCTGCTAAATCGAACCCCGGAAAATCAACCACAGCAGCATAGACGTGCCCAAAGTGTCTAGCCCACAGGAAGCTCCCTGGAATAGAGAACTGCCATTTGTGCCTGCCAGTGAAGCACCCAGAACATCACTGTGCTCTTCAAAAAGTAATGAATTATCATCTGTACTAGTGCTTAGTTGCCTCCCACTTTTCTATTGCAGGGAGGAGCCATCTCCATCTTGACTGCCTGCGAGAAACCAGACGAGTTTTCAGGCATGGTGTTAATTTCTCCTTTAGTTGTAGCAAGCCCAGAGGCCGCAACGCCTATCAAGGTAATAGCAGTGGGTGTCAAATAAAAAAAGCCACAAAAACAAAACAAAAAAACAGGAAAGAGAAGGACCATGTTGGTCTTGTGCTCAGATCTTTCTAAAGAAGCAACTGTAAAAGGAATCCTGTCTCTAACTGCAGGGTCCTACCTAGATCCTTGTTCTCTGCCTCATGTGGGATCCAGATATCACTTTCTTCCTCCACCAGCCCCTATTTCCAAGCAAGTGCTGTATATTCAAAAAGGAGAATGAATTGTGGCCTCTGGTGCAGGAAGATGTTTTTATTAGTTGAATCAGAAAAGAGAAGAGTGATTTAAAAAACTAGATGGTTAAATTCTTCCTGCACTGGAGGGGGGAGCATAGTCAGATCAGAACAGAGCATGAAGAGGCAGACGACTAGAGGCCCAATTCTGCAAGGCATCATGTATCCTCAGCACTTAATGACATCAATGAGAAAGGAGGGCTCTGGGCTCCCCATAGGACACACAGCACCTCGCACAGAAAGGCTCTAAAACTCTAGAGGGAAACAAAGGAAAACAATCAAGTAATTTGTCCGTTATTCTCAGGAAGGGCTTGAAAGCTGGTAGCTTTTATTGGTGTTTATATCTCCCTTGAGCTTTTGTTGTGAGTTCTAGTGCCAGAACCTTCACCATGTGCATCCTCTTTTGGTAGAAAGAGTTTGATGTTGCCATGGTAAATGATGATCAGAGGGAATTAAGAGTGGTCCAGATCCCACAGTCACTGCTGCCATAGACAGGGATGTGAACGTGCAACTGTGTACATGGTTAACCAATGAGACAGGGCTTACCAGTTAATGTGCACAGTTACAAGCAGTTCTCCCCGCCATGCTGCTGCTGCCTCTGATACAGAGGCAGCAGTGCAGGGAGAGGATGAAGGAGCCAGCTTCCCATGCTCACTGGGATCCCTGCCCTTCCCCCATGCTGCTGCCTCTGATACAGAGACAGCAGTGCAGGGCAGCAAGTGGGAGACACCTGCCCCGCATGTAACCATGTAACTGCTGAAATATTCAGTGGTTCCACGATTACTTAACTCAATGCATTTTGATATCCCTAGCCACAGATCAGAGCTTAACCAGCCACATACACGGTAATGGGTACAGAAGAGCACTGCAACTGGAGGCATTCTAGCATTGGAGGACAGAGTCAGGCAAAACAGCTCATGGGATGATGAAGGAGCACAAGTAGGAGTGGCAGCCACTATACTCTTTAATAGAATTCAGACTGTGTTATCCCTGTGCCCGATGACTCCCTCACATAGAGAACAAACTCACTCACTGCTCAAATGCACCTTCCTCCCTTCTTGCTCACAGAAAGCCCCCTTTTACTATCCTTTGAGAAACCAGTACTGCAGTATGGAATCTAAGGGTATGTCTAGACTGCATTCCTCTGCCAACAGATGAATATTAGGCAGGTAGACATTACAAATGAGGCAGGGATTTAAATATCCCACACCTAATTTACATAAAAATGGCCACGCGTTTTGCAGACTCAGCACTTTGTCAGCAAAAAGCAGCAGTTTAGAGGGGATCTGTCGAGGAAGAAAGCCTTTTTCGACAGACCCCTTATGCCTCCTGCAAGGAGGTTTACAGGATCTGTCGAAAAAGGCTTTCTTTCTTGACAGATCCCCCTCTAGACTGCCTCTTTTTGCCGACAAAATGCTGAGTGGCCATTTTTATGCAAATTAAGCACAGGATATTTAAATCCCCGTTTCATTTGCAATGTTGACCTGCCTAATCTGCATCCCTCTGCCAACAGAGGGATGCAGTCTAGACATACCCTTAGGTAAGAGCAACCAGAATTTGGCCCTGTGTGTTCAAACACATGCAGGATGAAAAGAGCAAGGAAGCAAGAATTTTTTTTTTGATGGCACGAGGAGATGGAACAAGGGGGAATTGTATAGAAGTATGAAAAGAAAAATGTACGATGAAGAGCAGAAAGCCTGTCCTATTAAGCCCTAGAATCTGTGTCCAAAGGGAACTGGCAGAGGCTGCATTCCTTGAAATATTTATAACTAGATGGAATAAAACCTTAGAAAATGTTCTGTAAGGAAAAATTCTGCACCTGCATCCCACGGGTGGATTAGTTTAAAGATAGATAAAAATCAATTATTTTGTTTTAAAAAAATCAGATGAAAAAACCTATCTAAAGACAGTTTTAATTAAGATACATCATAGCTCACAGATATTGCATCCTGGAATAGGGATTATAAATTCTAATTCTCATATATTGTATGAGACAATATAGTCATGTGATGTTTAAGAAAAGTTTTGTAAATGAGTTCCATTAGTTCATGGATTAGGGGTGCAATCTTATGAGGCTCCAGAGGCTTTTGTATAGATTATTTAAATTAATCTTCCTATCTACCCAGTGGGACTCACTGCTTAGACTTCTAGAACTTAGAATCAGAGATGCTTAGTTTTGCAGTTCCCAAACTGTGGATTTGTGTCTCCAGAGATAACAAGCTTACTAACAGCAAAAATGTTTTAAAATAAATAATATATAGAGATGAGAAGTAACAAACCTCAACCCTATTGTCCTTCTGCAAATTTGTGTACACAGAGTCAGTCCCTTACCTCTCTGAAGTGCAAAGTTTCAAAAATGTCACTGAATAAATGATTGTTGGGGGCAAATAGATCTGGACGAGGAGAAGTCTGGAGATAAATGTAAGAAGGGAAGGATAGGCAGCAGAAACAAACATTTGAGCAGCATATTCCAGAAGTCTTGAGGTCTTTCTGATTGTAGTCTTCGTTGATTTGAGATGTATCATACCATTCTCTCACTAGAAGGGAAAAATCTATAATGGCAGCTGGCCATAAAAGAGACCAAGTTTGGGAAAATGTTAATGAAGTTCCTCTACCTGTGAGTAAGTCAGGCATAAGTGCAAAATGCAAACAGCACAACAAAGAAATGCAAGGCCTGGTTTCCCAAATGGAACAACATCATGAGAAGTGTCCTTCTCAGGAGGAAAGTGCGTTGAAGATGATGAAAGGAACATGTCTGAACTTGCAGGATCTTCAGGTTGGTAAACTTTTTTATTTCAAACTTCTTTCTTAAGGACTGCCTGTCCTCCTCCTGGACTACTCTTGAATTCTCATGTTTGAGGGGAAAAAAAAGTAGTTGATATAATTGTGATAAAAAATAAATAGCTGAAATAAGCAGTTTCTCCTTTTACAAATTCACCATTAAGTAGTACTGAGTATCAGTGAATGCAATGAGTAATACTACATGAGCAGAATGGTAATAATAATTAAATAACTCCCTTGACTTATTTTGTTTAGGAGAATCCATCCTCAACATACAGGATTCTGAAGACTATCCACCTTCAAGATCACCATAATTTTCTATAGTTTCAGAGTTATCTGCCAATGATAGTGTTTCAGTCACATCATGTGTGTCACATAGCCACAGTATGTTACCTGTAGCAAAAAGAAAAAAAAAACCTCCATCATCCAGAACCAACCACAGATAAGTTTGTGATAAGAACATCAGATTACAAAAAGAGGTAATTGATGAAAAAAATTGCCTGGTTTCTTTATGCAACAAATGCTCCTTTTCTTATGTATGGAGAAGCGCCACTTCATTTACATGGTTCAGTCATTAAGGACAGGATACAGTCCACCCAACAAGGCAGATATCACAGGCAAATTACTGGATAAAGTGTATGAAAGAGAAACTGAGCAGTGTGCAAGAAGTCTAGAGAGTAAAATTGTTAACCTGAGTTTTGATGGATAGAGCAATGTCCATAATGATCCTGTTGTATGTGCTTGTGTGACAACAGAAGAAGGGAATGTCTTCTTTACAGAAGCAATTGATACATCAGGACATGCGCACACAGCAGAATACTTACAACAAGTAGCAGAAAAAAACTATAACAAACTATGAAAAAAATCCAATGTCTAGTACACAACGTGGTCACAGACAATGTTGCAAATGTATCCAAGATGAGAAGAAATTTAGAAGAGAGTGGAGTGAGTCCCAAGCTAATAACATACAGTTGCAGTGCTCATTTGATGTACCTTTTCATCTGATGTAGCCAAAGACTTCAGTATTCCAGAAATAAAGGCTAATGTTGTTGAAATTGCAAAATATTTCAATAACAACTACTTTGAAGCAGCTGCCCAGAAAAAAGTGGGAGGAACCAAGCTAACTCTCCCACAAAAAGTGTGATGGAACTCAATAGTGGAATACTATATCAAGAACTGGCCTAATCTGATGACAATTTGTGAACAAAATCATGAAAAAATAGATAGCACTGTCACAGCCAAAGTTCTCAACATTTGGCTTCAGAGAAATGTTGGACACATGCTGAGTGCCCTGAGGCCTATTTCTGTAGCTTTGAATAAAATGCAAGGAAATAGCTGTTTTATTGCTAATGCTGTTGACATTTGGAAGGAATTGTGTGAGATCTTAAAAAAGAGAAATGTGCAATGACAGAGTCAGATTACCAGTATTAAAAAACAAATGGGACAAGCACTACCTCCAGCTCATTTTCTTGGAGATATTCTCAATACTCGGTACCAGGGTCAAACCTTAACTGCTGAAGAAGAGGAGTTGGCTATGACATTGCCATCCAGCGATCATCCCTCGATAAAGTCAATGATAATAAACTTCAGAGCTAAGGGTGCACCATTTAAGTAACATATGTTTGATGATGATGATTTTTAAAGAAAGTCACACCAGTGAACTGGCGGAATTTGCTTAAGCACTTGGAATCAGAGGTTGTTGAAGTGATAGTCTCACTTTTAACAACAGTAGCTTCTTCTGCCAGTGCAGGAGGAATATTTTCTTCCTTTGGACTAATTCATTCCAAAATGAGAAATCATTTGGGACCTGAAAAAAACAGGAAAGCTGGTCTTTCTTTTCCAGATTATGACCAAACAGGAAAGTGAAGGTGAAGACAACGGAGTTAGCTACAGAAGTCAATATTTTAAGTTTCTCGTGTTGACCTGGCTGACACAGTCGATTTAATTTTTGTTTGTCAATATTTCATTTAACTATTTTAGTTAAAAACAATTTTAACAAAAACAACCTTAATTTTAAAAAACTTGAATATTTAACTAAATTCAAAAATTCATATGCTTGTTTTGTTAAGATATTATATATTTGCTGTTGAAGAAAAAAATCCAGAATACATAATATTGTTGTTTTAATTAAATAAAACAATTGAAATGTCTGCCTGGAGATGTTTTTCTCCTAATACAGCATGGCAAGAAAATCCTCCAAATATTAACGATCAACCTGTTGAATTGGAAATAGTTCAACTCCCAATGACTTCATAAATATCTTCTTCAATCACCTTTGGTAAATGAAATAACCAAACATTCACTCATTTTCTGATGTAGCTGTAAAACTAATCAGAAACATTTTCAAAATAAATCACTTTTTTAAAACGTATAGTGTACACCTTCTAAAAATGAAACCCACATCTGTCTCTGAGTTGTGAAGAATATGTATTAAAGTTATAACAACCAAGAATGCACTTTTATATAGAAAACCATGATTAAATCGAGTCTTCCTCACTAGTGATTTAAAACATGATTTAAATCAATTTAATTTAAATCAAATCCACCCTGATTAGATGAGACGCAGTGAGATTTTTCCATTTCTAACTTGCATGACGTGTTCCAGTTCTCTAATTCCACTTGGCCTTTACTGACCAGGCCTATTTATTTTCCTTTGTGGTTGGACATCAGCTGGTCCCAATAAAATTCTTACAACTTCTCTGATCACTCAAGCCTTATTTTCACACACCAAAATTGCACTGATTTGCTTAACTTTAACTAAATCTGGGTTTTTTTAAATGATTTAGTTGAACTGGAGTAAAACCATGTGGAGAAACTCTTATTTGGTTTGAAAGGGGTTTATTTCTATTTAGCTTACACCTGTTCTTAATCAATTTCAGATAAATCAATATAAGACCAGTATATATATTGGTTTAAGTCCTTTGCACCAGGCTAACTAAATTGGTTTTAAATCACATGTCTTTTAAAAACACATACAGATTGGTGTGTAACAAGCCTTTAGACTCAAGTCACCTTTTTCCAGGCCAGTCTGGGATCTCACTCTTAGCCCTGGTCTACGCTAGGGAGTTATTTTGAAATAGCCCCCCTTATTTCAAAATAAAAAGTGGAGTATTCACACTACCAAGCTCATTATTTCAAAATAATGGGCTGGTTATTTCAAAATATGTATTCCTGCTTTCCTCGGGGAATAAGCTTATTTCAAAATAGTTATTTTGGGAGTTAATATTTCAAATTTAGTTATTTTGAAATAATTTCCTAGTGTAGACAGGCCCTTACAGACTGGAGTGGACAAGAGTATTGAATGGTTTGCCATACCTAGCTGGATGTACTCTTCACTTCTCTTTTGTCCCAGATCAAAACTGCATAATTTCTGTCTTATTGAGTCTGGCCTGCCAACCACTCCTTACATAAATCATATTGCATCAGTTGCTGATTTAAAAGGAGATAAAATGTTCAGCTATCAAATATAGCTAGGGTGTTTAGCAACAGTCTTTTTAATTAAAAGCCCATTGTGTTATAGACCGTCACTGTGGCCATCACAAATCAATAATGCCAGATTGGAACCTTTTGACCTTTGAAGCTCAGGTTTATAACATGAAAGATTATTTTTCCAGTGGCAATGATCTTGACTCTTAGAATCACTGAGCTATAAGCCATATTGACTGAAATTTACAAGGATAATGTGACTTTTCACATATATCTAGAATTCCTTATGAGTATGGTCTCAGAGTATCTCCTTATCACAGTCAGTCAGTCACTTTGATCATTAGATTAGTTCTATCTGTGCATAAGTAAGATCTGTATATGTGCACACAGAGGATGTGCGTGCGGACATGCACAAACAAACCTGGCCTGATTCTTCTCTCGTGCTGTTGTAAATCAGGAGTTTCTCCACTGAAGTCAGTGAGCTGCACCAGTGTAAAATGGTGAGATCAGAACTAGATCCACTGTGTTTCTTTACTGGTTTGTTGCTGTTGACTCAAGCTGGCAAGACTCAAACTGCTGTTGAGTCAAGCTCCAGAAATGTGGGCAAGCTTTGAGAAGATGTCCAAACCATGTGCTAAAGGGTAGGTAACCAAAGCATATGAAGCCATGACAACAAAAAGTGAGCATCATTAGAGTAGTATGTGCTCACATGTGGGGAAATTCAGGTTCACTTTCTCTGTAAAACTTACATAATCTATAAAGGGATCCCTAAGGGTATAAATAAACATACACATGTGCACACGCACACAGCAGATAACATATCTTAAATTAAAAAGCCAGAGAAAAAATGGTTCCTTCACTAGGCATGAATTTTATCTGAAATTATGAGCTTGTGTTTATACCTATGATAGCAAATTCATTCCTGGTGCAACTTCATTGACCTCTTTGGAGCTCAGTTTGGTTCATGGGGTTTGAGTACCAATGGGGTATTCAGTGTACAAGGTAAAACTTATATATGCCCCTAGGAATGGGGGTTTCCTGGATATGTACTATGAGCCTTCACTGCTTGCTCCTTTTGGAGAATTCTAATTGCAGCCTGGTAACTTTCCTTTGTATAATATCTTTGATACAAGAGCATCAGACAGTCCTATGTAATGGATTACAGCCTATGCTTACAATCACAAGCAGAATATGCAGAGTACAAATTAATCTTGCAAGTAGTATCTGTGGATACAGTAGAACAGTACAAAGGCCAATTACCCATTGTCATCTTTTCTAAGTGATGACCACTTAATTAGAAGATGGTTATCAAAGATCAGAGAAGAATCTTGCATGGGGGAGGGGACTGTGGAATGTTATTGAAATAAAGGTTGTTCTTTCTGATGCTAGTGCTTTCAAGCTCAGACTGCGAAACGCTTTTGTGTTGGATTCCCAGGAGACAAACGACTAATAGATTTCCTTAGTCAATGCATGCACATTTTACTGTTGTTTATTTGCAGACTCCCTGGAGAACGTGCTTATCAAAGGGAGTACAGGCTAGGCAACTACTATAAATTGCACAGAATATCACTTAAGTGCTGTAGCCTGAAAATCAGAACTGAATAATAGTGGGAAGGGGCAGCAGCAAGAGCAACACTGCCAGCTCCATAAAACAATGAATGCTGCTCTCCCTTAGCTAGCTGCTTAGGCCAAGCCTTTCCCACATGGACTTGATCTCTCATCTACACTGGGAAGAAATGCAGAGTGCCGTGTCAGGGCAGTTGTGAATATTTCTTATTATTGTGCCCATTCTTGTAATTAATGTTGGCGGATGTGACTGTCTAAATTCTTTTGTTTCGTGACAGTTTTGTAAATGTAGAGCCAGATCCCCAGCTGGTGTCTCATTGGCACGCTCTGACTCCCATGGTGCTATGCCAGTTTATACCAGCTGAAGCGTTGGCTCACCTATTTCTTCTCCTGGCTGCCCAATTAATTTATTTCATTCACTTCCCACAGGTGTTTGCAGCTAAAGTGCTCAACTTGGTTCTACCAAACCTGACACTGGGAGCGATAGACCCAAATGTGGTTTCCCGGAACAAAAAGGAGGTGAGGCTGTCCATATCATTGTAAGTCATTGGGATGGTGGTACACAGCCCCAGTGCTAGCCCTTTCTAATGGGGCTAACTACTCTAGCCAAATCCTCAGCTAATGGAAATGATAACTGTGCCCATTTACACTAACACAAAATTTGGCTCATGGGCGGATTAGTCCAATCTGGAACTATTCATTCACCACCAGATCAGTGCACTCTGACTCCATGTCTTGTTCTGGGCAGAAATGTGCTGTATGATGGTCACTATGGCAAAAAAAAAAAGAGGGGACCCATAATTCACCACCGGCACCCTTACTACAGAGCAGCTGCAGCCGCTTTAAACAGCAGGCTTCTAATTGCTATGCAATCTGGGCAGAGAGGAGAAAGCGTTGCGTACTGTCCCCACCCCCTAGTGAAATCCCTCAGCTCCCATTGGCCAGTTTCCAGCCAATAGGAGCTGAGAATTTTGCTGACGGCAGAGGCAACAAATGAAGCTGCCTCACTCTCCCCCTCCCTCTCTCCCTGTGCTACAGCAGAGCCACATGGAGCAGCCCACCCAGCACACAGGCAGGGAGTCTGTCTCAGGTTCCTGTAGAGCTACTAGCTGGGAGCTGCCTAGGTAAACGCCTCCCAGCCAGAGCCTGCCTCTGACATCCCACTCCCTCTTTCCCCTCAACTACCTGCCCTAGGCCATCATCCAAACCCTCTGTATCCCCTCTCCCCACCTCCTCCAGGTCACAAATCCCTCCCAGACCCTACATCCCCTCCTACACCTGTCCCCAAGGCCAGAACCCTTTCCTGCATGCATACCCCTCCCTGACCCTGCACTCCATTCCCGTGTCCCATGTCACTGCCTAAATCCTCTGCACCCTCTTTCCCCCCTTCTCCCAGGTCACAACTCTCTCCCAGACCCTGCATCCCCTCCCTCATCCCTTCCCCAGGCCAGAATCCTCTCCTGCACCCATAACCTCTCCTGGACCCTGCATCCCAAGTCCCTGTCCCAGATCATAACCCCCTCCTTCACCCAAACTCCTTCTCAGACCCCACACTTCCTCCTGCACCCCAGTCCTCTACCCAAGCTCTCTTCTACACGCCACCCGCTGTCCCAGACCCCACACTCCCTCCACAGAAGTGCAGCCCTTGACCACTTACCAAAATCTTGGTGTGGATCCCCATTAAAAATTATTGCCCACCCCTGGTGTAAGGAAAAACAGAATAGAGGGAAAGGTACAATAAAATCATAAGAAGGAAGAATTATATTCCTGGACTGTAAAGGAGAAGAGAAATTATACCAGGTTTATAAAGTAAAAAGGTCATCAAAGCCACTGCCTATATATTAGGAGGCAGCATGCCATAGCTGTTACAGCAGGGATTTCTGGGTTTCCCTGCCTGGTACTGCCACTGACTTATTAGGTGGCTACATTAACTCAGTGTGCAGGAGCTGCTGGATCCCAACCCACGCAGGCTGGGAGCCAGCAGCCCCATGCAGGGGGCCAGGGAGGGCTGGAGCAGCCCTCCACCTGCAGCTGGGCCATGGACAGGGAGCTGCTTCTAGGCACAAGTTAATTGTTACTCGGTAAGCATCACCCTTATTGGATAACTGTTTAACTGGTATAGACATACCCCAGGAAAGTGGGGCCCAGTTAGCAGTAACTAAGATTGAGGAAAGAACAGGAAACAGAGGAAGGAAGCAGAAGTAACCCAGGGTACATCTACACTGCATCCCTAGTTCGGACTAGGGATGCAGATGGAGACAACCGAAGTAGTTAATGAAGCGGGAATTTAAATAATTTAACATGACTTCTCAAAAAATGAGGAGTAACGTTAGTTTGGACTAAGGGCTTTAGTCCGAACTAATGCATCCCGGTGCGCACTTCCTGGTTCGAATCAGCTGTGATTCGAACTAGCACGCCGGCGAGATCATGTTAATGAAGCACGGGATATTTAAATCCCCGCTTCATTAACTACTTCGGTCGTCTCCATTTGCATCCCTAGTCCGAACTAGGGATGCAGTATAGATGTACCCCCAGTGTTTTCTAGACAGAGAGCGCAGATATGGGAGTAGGAGAAAGCTTAAAGGAAGAGATGAGCCAGGATTTACAGGCAGAATGAAGGTAGGCAAGGGGGGAAAGAGGTAGAAGTGACTGATGCAGAGCCTGGAACATCACTCCAGTTTCTCTTACCTCTCCCTACCACTTAATCCTAAACACACCCAAGATTAATCTAGATAATGTCTTTAAGCCTCATGCCCCACCTCGTTAGGAGTGGAAAGGTTTTCCCAAGACATGCCCTGTGACCTGCCTTCACCCCATGCCCAGGTCATTAACTCTCCATTAAGGGTTGTTTTCCCTTAGCTGTTTCATCCCTCTCACAATGTCCATCATTCTTAAGGATACTCCTCCCCATCTACACTAAATATCTGTCTGCCCTTCAATAGCTAAAAATTCCTTGTTGTTTTGGGGCGGGAGACAGGGGGAAAGAAGAAAGAAACCCATTAGGCCATCTCTTAGCATTTATGGCACTACTCAGGGTGAGGAAGGGGAAGCACATATGAATTAATCTACATTATTTCACTCCCTGGGAAGGGAATGTCTGTCAATCCAGCCACCCACCCCTTTTGATTTTTTCCCTGGAGTCCTTCATCTGTTGCTTTCAGGGAAAAAACAAACTCTCAAAGCTGCGTTGCCTTAGTGCAGTGCTATGACACGGCTCTAAACAAATAACTCCCCGATTAGGCTGCAGTCAGTTGCTAAGTAGCCAGAGGAACCCTGTGCCTTTGTTTCAATTGCAGATGAAAAGTCAATGGGTTTGGGTGAAAATGTCAGGTTACATCCAGCTGTTCAAGTGAGAGTTGACCAAATTAGATGGACTGGGTTCTGGCTAATGGATTTAATTTTCTCCATGAGCCCTGTCCCCAAGGGGGTGGTTCCAGCTCACAAAAGGCAGCCTCTCGGGAGTTAGACAGTGTGCAGAACAGAGAAGATGTGCAAAACAAGTGGGGCTGTATCTCACAAGAGTATTGTCCTACCAGAAAAGGCTGCCTGTCTGTTGGGGAGGCAGATGAGGTTGGAGGTATCTAAAGCAGCCGGGGTGTCGTCTCAGAGCTGTTCCAGAGAAACCTTCCAGCCACTGAAGAGTCTATGTAGTTCAGCATTCTCAATGCTGCTTGACTTCTCTGGGAGCCAAGGATGCTACTGCTTGCTCACATTAGGCCCTGACAGCTCAATCTCAGCCAGCATTTCCCCTTCCCAGTGGGTACTGCCAAGCATTTCCCGGGGCTGGGTCTCAGACCCTCAGGGTTGATGCGTCATTTGTCTCTCCCTCACTTTGGGGTCCACTCTAGCAAGCTCTTAAAATGAATTTCCAGTGATGGGGATTAGGGACTTGCCATAACAAGGGAATTAGGCTAATGCCCTGTGCAGGACCAGGGCAGGGCCTGGCAACGGGACTAGAATCCAATGGATCCTGCAGGACCATCACCAGAATAGCAGGAGCAGGATTAAAAAATAGCTCTGTGTGCCCATAGCGGGGAGTTCTGCCCCGCCCTGCAGGACAGGAGCGGTCGCAGCAGGGTGGGAGCAAGGCAGGCTTGCCTTCAAACTCCATTTCCCCCCCTGAGGCCTCTCCACCGCACTGAGCCAGGAGAAGCGTATGTTTGCTTCGGGCCAGAGCCTGGTAATGGGGTAATCCAGCCCTGAACATGGCAACTCATCTAGAACCTTCCTGTGGGCCCCTGGTGGGTCAGGACCCACTGTTTGGGAAACGCTGCCATAGAGAGGGAAAATGGGGCATCCTTTAGCCAACCTACAAAAAATATTTTTTTCTAAACCACATCAGACTTAGAGGTATCAGCGGCTGTGCCAGGAATCCACTTGTAATCAAAATGCTCTGGCAAAGATGAAGACGGTAAGTCTACGTAGACTGCCGAAGCTCATGTCTCCGCATACAGCATACAAATATTTACTGCCAATAGGCCTGATGCAGCAACTACCCCGTCCTACCGTCCTAGCTATCCAATCCTGTGATGATTCGTTCTGTGCCTGCTTTCCAGCACTCTTCACACCCGATTATTTGTGCTGACTCTCTGCTCTTAGCACACCTGCAAGAGAAGGACAAAAATTGGCAAGTGACAGACATGCTGAGGGGTGGAGGGTGGGGAGGGGAGTTCCCTAATGGCACTTTATATCGTAGTTTAAACTAAGACAAACGCTGCCAGTCAGGAGCCAAGGCCCATACCTAGTGAGCATGCAAAGTGCACAAACTGAAGCTACCTTCATCTTTAATACAGCGAGGTGGCCCATGGAGACTACCAGCTCCTACAGGCAATGCTCCAGCTTCAGCAGAGTAGCCTCCATTGAGCTCAAGACAACACAAGAGTCATCATCTTTGCAAGCCCCATTGCCACATACACTCTTTACACCAACACAGAGCTCCTCATTTTAGTGGCTCTTTGCAAGCAGGAGCTAATCAGTAACTACCACCCTCCTGCGAGGCTGGTAATATCCTTACTCCCATTTTGCAGGTGGGGAAACAGAGGCAAGGAAAAGTATTGTGACTCATGAGAGGTCACTCAGCACAAAGACAGAACTGGTTCTCAGGAACTGCTCGCATCAATATCATATTTGTAATAAGGCCGAAGGAAAAACTGTTCGGGGAGGGGGGAGAGAAAGGAAAGGGGATGGCCACCTTTAGTGGTAGGAGATAAGGACAGAGCATGAGTAAATGCCCAGAGGAGCTCCTTTCTTCAATGTCATTGACTGAGGCTGTGGTTTTGGATCATGAGCATTTTTCAGCGATGTAAGACAGACGTTTGGTTTAGCCTAATTTCCAGCTGCACTAGAATTAACGGGCAAGGGCTACTCACTGGAGTTATCACATAGGGCAGAGATCATCAGTAGCCAGACTGTGGATCAAACCTGGACCATCAGGTGCTTTTGAATGAACCTTGAAATCTATCTCTCTATTTTTGACATTGTAGTTTATTATTTTTTCTGGAGTTGCACCTTGAGCAAGAAATTTGGACCTTGACCAAAAGTGAATTTACTACCCCGACTGAGGGCGAAATGGCACAGTGGCCCACAGGGGTGAAAAATGGTTAGCCTAAGCAATTAATAGGAAGAGCCTCATCATACATGAAGGGCTTTGCCTTGTATTTTCAGGACACCTGCTAACAATGGATTTCTCTTCCCCCATCCAGGTTGAATCTTACACCTCTGACCCCCTGGTCTACCATGGGGGCATGAAGGTCTCCTTTGTCATCCAGCTGATGAACGCCATTGCCAAAATAGAGCGATCCCTGCCTAAACTGACTCTGCCAGTCCTGGTGCTACATGGTTCGCTCGACAAACTCTGTGACATCAAAGGCTCCTACTTACTGATGGACACCGTGCAGAGTCAGGACAAAACACTCAAGGTCACCTTGCTGCTTTTATTTGAAGGGTGTTATGTTGTGCATATTGGCCTCGGCTTTGCTCAGTGTAGGCGTAAGGATTGGACTGAGTCACCGTCAGAGCAGGTGTCAGGTGCTGCTGACAAAGTGCAGAGCGTAGGAAAAAGTGTCAGATTCTGGGAGGCGCTGAACACTCAAAGGAGTTGACTGAACTTGGCAGGCTTCCAGGATTGGGTGCTTAACCAGGTAACCCAGTGCCCCCAAACTCTGGGACAGCACAAGCTGCTGTCACGCCAACCCCACCTCACTGTGTAAAAAGGTACAGCGAGAACTTTCCAAAACACAGCTGAACAAAAGCATCTGCTCGTTTGGAGAGAGCACACAGCTGATTAACCAATTGTTAGCACATGAATGAGCTTGAAAGGGAGACGGGGAGACCAAGCAAAAGCTTTTGTCATCAGAAAAATAACTGTCTATGCCAACCATCAAAAGAGTGAAATTACACCCAGGGCTGTGGGAACGCCTCCCATTGTGTTTACATGCCAAGAGTGTGATTAGTATTTCTTGCCTCTCATTGGGTTGCAAGCTGGATATGCTACAGTTGGTTCACGGGGAGCATGGACTGGCAAGTAGACTCTGAGGGAAGGGTTTTATTCACTGCTTAAGCGCATGAAGGCAGCCCTTGCAGGAGATGTGTACTTCTCAGCCCTTGCAGGAGATGTGTGCTTCTTAATTACTGTATAGTAATTAAGGTAAGAGTGACACTGGGTCTGCCATGGCTTTGACTCCCTTCCTAGAAGGCTGTAGTCAATGGAATGCCCTGCCTGGGAGCGGTGGGCCTTGATTTGATAACATCCATGCCATCGCTAGAGATTGCCTTTTTAAACGCCACTTGCAGCAGACGGTATGGAGCAGCATGGGGCCCTCCCACCCGCTGAAACTTTTCTAATAATGAAAGAGTGACTGGAGCGGGGGCCCTGGATCCAGGCTCTGCCACAGCCCCACTGGGTGCCCAAATCACTGGACGGCAGAGCTATATTGTCTGTCTTTCGTCCAATGTCTATAAGTATTTATTCACCATGGAATAATGATGGGGCTAGAGAAAGAGAGGAAGCGAGGAGGGGTTAAATCTTCTACCCAGATTCCAGGGCTCAGTGATCAGGTTCTGCATGCGACATAGGTGTCAGTTTGCCAGATGGTTTCAACAAAAATACCAGACACACTTGACATTACATCACAATCTACATTACATCTTATTTAGAAAATACTGGACATTTATATTTTCTCAATTTGTTTCCTGAACAGAAAGCTCAAATACTGGACTGTCGGGTTCAAAACCAGACACCTGGCAACCCTACTTAGGTGGCCCAAATGCCTAGCTTCCTCTAGCTTGTGATTTGCTCCAGGGCTCAGTCAGGAGCTAGGGATCTGGACGCCTAGAGCAAGACAGCAGTGCAAATGCCCAGATGCCAAAACCTAAACACAAAGGGAACTTGTAACTGGAAACTCAAAGGGAACTTGTAACTGGAAACTGCCAAATGAGTTTAGGTGTCTATGGACTTTTGTGGCTCTGGGCCCTATAGACACATGTTTCAAAGGTGATGAGCATTCACCACTACAGCTAAAGTCAGTCGCTGCTTTGGGTACTCAGCATTGCTGAAGAAAGGTGTTTCACAGAGGCCCTCTTTGAATGTGTGATCATATGTCCCACTCTCCTATTGGTGAGTCTCCCCCACAGGGAGAGAGGAGCAGAAAGAACTGGAGGAGGAGGAAGAATTGCAACTGCAAACCTGAGCAGGGAGGACAAGTGCGATACCTGGGGAAACCTGTTAAATCCCCAGCTGAAACTGATGAAATCTCAAGTTGGTGGCCTCCCTAAATTTTCAAAATTTCCCATATCTAAGAATACAGAAAGGCTGATGAGATGTGTGCAGGGCATGTCAGGTTTGCAGGTAATATTGAGTGGGACCCGAGGGTTGCTTTGTTCTGAGAGGGTTGTCTTACCCGATGTTCTTTCTTTGTTTGCAGGTGTATGATGAGGCCTATCATGCTCTCCATAGAGAGCTGCCAGAAGTCAGCACTGCTGTGTTTCAGGAAATACTAACATGGATTGGTCAGAAGGTCTCAGCAGATGGAGGACCAAGCCACACTTAAGAACAACTGCCTTCTTACCTTCTCATTGGTCTTCTGGGGATGGAAGCTTGTTTGGTTGTTTCTTTCTTTTAATTCTCTCTGGAAAAAGATTTACCTAAGAGGGACTCCTAGGATACTTTGCTATGAATAGACATTCCTGTTACATAGGAGGGAGATACCACTTGGTCATTTAAAGAGACCACTGCCCTAAAGCAGGAAAGGGAATTATGGCAGCATAAGAAGTCACTGAAAACTTTCCAGGTTGGTTATTGTTCTACAAGGCTCCCATTAAAAAAAAGCCCCCAAAGCCCCCCATCTTCCTCCGTGTTCTTTGTTTTCTCTGGAATTCCTGATGTGCCACGGAGGTTTTTATTCTGCAATAATCTTGGGAATGCTCAGTAATTCTGCATCTTTCCTTTCATTCTGTTTCTGCTCCTGTGGAGTACGGTCCCTTTCCCTGCTCCTGCAGGTACAGAACATGATGTATAAGAACTTAAGAAGAAGTGTTTACCGTTGAGAAGAGACTACTAGAGAGAGTTAGCAAAGAGAGCTGGGGGTGGGGGAGCGGAATCATTCTATACATGAAGGTGAAAAGCTAATTTTCTAGGTAAACTAATTTGAAGTAACCACTCCTAGCACATGAGGCCTGAAGGATAGGCACCAAGCAGCGGCCCCTATCCTGGCACTTTGCTTTGCACTCTAGAAACACATGTTTAACAGCTATTTAATTCCCAGCACCAGGGCAGAGGGATTAATGTAGAATAAGTTATACTTAAAACCTACTAAGCACACACAAGTGGTGCAACTTCCAAATACCAAACTCCCTCCCCTCTGCAAGATGAACTACTCTGTAAATATTCCTAGAAGCTGCTTTTTTTTAAAAAAAAATACTTGCGCTACTGATACTTAAGATGTAAAGTCAAAGTTTTATTTAAGAAGAAATATTAATATACTATATAATGTGGATCTTGGCAGCTCAGAGAGCTGTCAATGAGGAAGGGAGCAGAGTCTGAAGATCTAACTAATTGTCCTCACCCCAGCACTGTCTTAGCCATTGCAAAGTTTTCCTACCATGGTCCATTCCTCTCATCACTGCTCCACAGCAATCATTTGTCCTTTCCCTCATCAGCTGACAATGGGCAGAAATGCTAGTCAAGCTTAGAACATCTAGGGAAGGGAAGGGCATGTATCCCCACTGTCCATTTATTTACTAAGAGCCTCAAAATGTTGTTACTAGGTTCCCCTGCAAGCACTTCTAACCCTGTGAAAAGGTTGTTCTTGAGTGATCCTTCTAGATTTAGCAGCTGTGTGGCAATGAAGGGTAGTACTTACTCCTGAGATTTTGTTTAAAAGCAGATCTTCAAGCAGATAGGTAGCAGAACATCTGTATCTGCATATTGGGGCTACATAGAACAAGCCATATGGAAGGATACTGATGAACCTACCACGAGGACAACTAGAAAGTTTGCAAATCCAGCAGATTCCAATACTGTTTGGAAGCTGCAGCTCCAGATGCCAGAGTTGACTGGTCTTTCATACCAGCAAAGCTCGAGGAAGACTTCTAGGAGAACTTGCCATGTGAAAACTCACTCACGTGGCAAGTGAGTGTGTATCAGCCCATTAGCCTTTCCTGGGGCAATTGTGTTACAACTTGTCTATATGGGAAAATTTACTACCAGAATTATGCTGATATACCTCTATGGTTATACCAGAATAGACTCCCTGTGTGGATGCATCCACACAGTTAAACTGGTATATTCACACCAGGGTAGTTTTGCCAGGCAATGGCCCATGCCAACATGTCCTCAGTAATAGGCCTCTGCTCACATGCCTTTTCCTCCCATTCCCTTAGGCATTCAAACACTAAGTCCATCAAAGTTCGGCAGAGGGTGGTGGAACCATTTCACCACTGAGAAAAACTCCTTTTCTTGGCTCCCATTTTAAAGAGGCCAGTCTCCCCTACAGGCACAGCAGCTGGAGTCAGCACAGCTCCTTCATGCTCCCTTTCCACCTCCACCCTGAAGGAGAACAGTGCTCCCATTGTGACAGTCTGTTCCTGTTTCAGTGGCAAGGAAGGCCATGCACCACTATTATACCAACACATCAGGTCTCAGGAAAGGTCACCCTTTTGCATTAACAATAAGCATCAGAGCTTGACTCATTCGCTCACACCTGTTCTCTAATAAGGGTTTGAGAAGTTAATGGCATTCCAGGGCTTGCAACTGTGTAGTCAGTGCATGGAATGAGAAATGCTGTTCTTTACAGATTGGCTCTGCATTAGTACAGCTCTGGTTTCCTGGCTGTAATCTGAGACGCCATTACAGATCTTAGCTGGACTTGAATTTAAAACCCTGTTCCAGCCATTACAATCAACTGCTTACCACCACCAGCGGTAAACCCCCCACAGTGGCTTCTGGGCATCAACACAAGGGGAAGCTCAGGAGCTTCCAGTGACCGGGTTTGTTTTTCTGCTAAGGATAAGTCCCTTCCCCTCCCTCAATTGCTTTCCTGCCCCTCCCGCCCAACCATGAGGGGAGAGAGTGAGCAAGGAGACCTTACACTGATGGGAGACCCTGCCTACCTCTTAGGCCTTGAGCATGCATCAGGTAGGCTAATCATACAACGATGTGTGCTAGAGTATTATGGGGAATACTAGATGTGTTTTATAAACAAAAAGAGGGGATTAAAAGGTCTGATTTTTTTTCAAAAGCATTCAGTGATTTCCTGAGTCTGCCCCCCTTGAAGTTAATGGGAATTTTACCTTTGACTTAAATTGGAACAAAGTTAGTTGAGTGCTGAGCTCTTTTGCAGGGCAGGAGGAGAATCTTAAATAAACAAGCACTTGGTGGGGGGAGGGTGAGTAAAACTCACCCTGCAGTGAGATGGCCACAGCCCTGCTGCTCCCTTTACCAGTTTGTGGCCATAGGAAGGCCTGGGGTCAGTGGTTTTCATTAGCTCTGTTCTTTAGCCCGAGAGAGGGCTGCTTTCCGCCTGTGCTTCGCATCAATATATAAGAAGAAAATGAGGCTGATAAAAAGACCTGTCCATCTAGGCTCAACAGAGCCATACAGGAAGAGGAAGCTGGTTAACAATAACATGTTCAGCTGACAATTGGTACGGCTGAGCTAGCTGCTGTTTCAGACCATTTTCTGAAGCGCTGCCTTTTGGGAAATGGGGCCCAGAGAAGATTTAGCTGAGAAATTAAGGGCCAGTTTTTAACAGGCTTGAACAGAGCTGAGATCACACTGTTGAATGTAGAAACAGCACCAGACCCTCAGCTGGCATACATCGGTGCTCAGTTGGAACTGTAAGATCCATGTGTAAATCAACATAGCCCTAGGGAGGTAATTTGTGCTACACTGATGGAGAGCAGTTGGAGATCTGCCCCACATTTACATTCTAGCTGCTAGTCAATCCATTGCCAGAGGTTCAAACTGGCTTAAACTAACACAGTTTTCACCATGTCCTCATGGAAATCCCTTCTTGATCAACTTCATTATCAGCAGGTAGCTCTGCAACCTGTGGAAATGTTACTAAAACCTTTATTTTCAAATACCATGGATGCTTGAGGGTAGGGATGTTAAATTTCAATTAATCAGCTAATTGAGGGAATTTTCATCGACAAATTGATTAGTCAATAAGGGGGGCGCTCGCTATACCACTGCGCCTCTCCTTTGAAATGTACAAGAGCCGCCCACGGCTCTTGTACATTTCAAAGGGAGAGAGGCAGCGGAAACCTGCAACAGCAGGGACCGAAGTAGTCCCCACTGGCACGGGTTCTCCTCCGTGCCTCTTCCGTTGAAATGTACAAAAGCCGCAGGTAGAGGAGCAGCAGTTGGATTAGCGCAAGTGGGACTGTTTTAATCCCTGTTCGCTTTGTTTCCACACTGCCCTCTGCCTCCCCTAAGCCCCGTGGAGACAGTGCTGAGAGGGACCGGCTTTTGGGCCGGCTCACCCCAGCACTGGCTCCTGCTCCCCGCCCCTTGCTGCCTCTCTCTGATGGAGGCAGCAAGGGGGGGAAGCGACTAGATAAGTTCCTACTTGACTAAGCATTTGCTTATCCGGTAGTTGACTATTTGCTTACATCCCTGCTTTAGGGGAAGCACTGCTGGCCTTATGAAATTCCAGACTGCTCTGCTGAGACAAAGGGGGATCCTTTCCCTTTGACAATAGAGTGCATTTATGACAGAGCAATAGTAATCTAACTACTGTATATATATCACCACCTGTAACATACTCACAATGTGTAATCCACACACTTTTCTATTTAGCCTGCTCTTTTTATATTGGTCACCCTAATACACTGTCAGCATAAGCCTGTAGAGATCACTTATTTTCCAAGTAATTTCTGAGCCCATCTGTCATTTCAGTGTGCTCCAGTTTAATGCAATATATACACATGTGCATACATGTATTTTCAGTGAGACAAGTGTGTACACGTTTAGGATTCTTTAAAAGGAATACAATGTATATTGCACTGAATAATAAAGTTATGTTTTCTGAATGCAGTGTATTTGGGAGCATCATTTGCTGCTGTCATCAGATGATACTGAAGGAACAAGAGAAGGAAGGGTCTTTTTCAAAACATTTCAGCTTTCGGGGGAGGGGACAACAGCTGAGCCACAGATACTGCTCAAGGTCAATCTCCAGTGTAGCAACTTTGCAAGTGCTCCCTTACCATCTTGCCTGAGACCTGCAATGGAAAGGCTAATTCCCACTTGGGGTAGGAATGTCTGCACCAATGTAGCAATGCCACAGAATAGCTACACTAAGGCATGGTCTATAACTGAAACTTAGATTGACTTAGCTACATCACTGAGGGGGTATGAAAATTCACACCTTTGAGAGAAGTAGATGTCAATCTATGATCTGGTATAGCCATAACTGTTACCTTTAAAGAAGGCAGATTTACTCCTGTGACGAGAGAAACTCCTTTTGTCCCAGCACGGTTGTGTCTACACTACAGGGGCAGAGCTACAGCTGTGCCACTGTCACACCGACATGCCCTCAGATTTGCATCAAAGACGCTTTAATGATGCACCGAGTCCAAATGTAAACAAGGCCGCAGCTCTCTGGGGCAAGGCCTGTCTTTTTGGTTCATGTCTGCACAACACCTAGTACCATGAGGACTGGATCCTGAGTGGTCCCCCCTCCATTACTGTAATCAATAACTTGCCCTGGTGCCTTCACTACAGAGCAGGAGGGAGGGCAGGGCACCTATATAAGCCACGCTGGAAGGTTTCCTTACGGGGTAGCATATAAAAAGCTTTCAGAATATTACTTGAACTGAAATTTAACAACCTAGTTTTTAATTCCACCATAGCAGTTATTCTACAAATACTTTTTATGCAGCCCCAGAGGAGTCGGGAACATTACAGCCCTAGAAATATTTTAAACACGGCCTTTGGCAATGCTGGCAGCTGAGACCCAGGCTCACTTGGCCTGTTGCATTTGTTTACATTCCAGTGGCACCCTCAGAGTGGGGGAGGGCAGGGCAGCCCCTAACATGAAGTTTCAAGCCTTTCCCAAGAGACTCCCACCCATCTACATGAGCATCTCTCAATAATAAAATAAACTAGGGGCCCGAGCCTGGAACTGACTCTGCACGGACAAGCTACTGTGCCAGTAAGTTCAAGAGATCCAGGCACATGAAGAGCTGTGGTATCAGGGCTACATGCCCACCTGGACAACACCAAGCGGACAGGTGGGTTATGGCACGGACACAAGAACTAGTCCTCTCATGCGCTGATCTTCTTTATAAAGAGCACTAGAGGATTTTCATCCAAAAAGAGCAGGGAGTCACCCCAGTTGGCCACCCTTGTTATTTTTGCTAGCCCCCTGTCCTCCTTCCCCCTCCACACTGTGAACTGCCTGGGACTCACTTTACATGTGCTTGCCACGTTGTATTTCTAGGGTGGCTAAGGGTTTGGTTTTCAAGCAAAAAGTCTGGTCACAAAGGAGTCCCCACAGTATCTGTTCAGATCTACTAACCAGCCACCCAAAATCCAGTTACTGCAGAGGGAGCCACCAACTCAGCACCCATGCCAGCCCATACGCAGCCACCGCCACCTCCTACCTGCATCAGCTGGATGCATTTCCCAGACCCAGCTCTGCAGGCAAGTCGCTTCTGACCCACACAGGGATGGGACAGGAGGGAGCAGAAAGTGACGGGAGAGGGCAAGAGCATGGCGGGGGGAGGAGGTAATGCCTGCTGGAGTGTCTGGTTTTTAAATATTGCAGAGTTGGCCACCCTTGTTATTCTTGCTGCTACTGTAAGCATGGGAAGTGCTGGATCAGCATTACTAAGAATTCACGGCTCTGCTCTGAGTAGTCTAAATATTTCAAGCCTGATTTGTGACTGGGAACAAGTCGTTGACTAGTTCTGGGCCTCAGTCCCCAGTCTGTTGGAAGAATTGTATCCTGATCTCTTTCCCCAGCCATTTGGTTAGTTTGGTGGGACTGCCAGCTCTGCAGGACAAAGACAATGGCTCACTGTGTGCATGTGCAACACCAAGGGTGGGAGAAGCTCAGCCAAGAGCCAGGCCATAGGCACCACTAGCCTATAATAATAATTAATAACAAATAAACCCTCCCATTCACAAAGGCCAAGTTGCTAACTGTTGAAAGTTGCCCTTATGCCCATGTGCAGCATTGTCCTGACATTAATAGAAGCATTGAGATCTTGACAAAACTTAAAACACGAGGAATCATCCTGAAGCACCTTAGAGACTAACAAAAAATGTAGATGGTTTCGTGAGCTTTTGTGGGCACAACCCACGTCTTTCATCTGAAAGTTCATGCTACCATCTATATGTTCTGTTAGGGTATGTCTACACTACAGTGTTATTTCAAAATATTTTATTTCAAAATAGTTATTTCAAAATAACATGTCTGCACACAAAATGCATTTCAAAATAGCATTTTGCTATTTCGAAATAGGGCGTCCACACTGAGTGGACTATGAATCGCAATTAAGGCTGGCCGGAACTAGTTCAGGCAGGGCACCAGGTCAGGACTTACTGTGTGGGGCTGCTGCTTAAAGGGACCCCCCGGACAGCCAGTTCTCAGATTTCCCTGCTTGCTTGTCTATAGGGTTGCCAGGTGTCCGGTATTTACCTGGTCAGTCCGATATTTTCACGTCCTGTCCGGTAAAAATATTCAGAGAATACCGGACACCTGAGATGTCTGGTATTCTCTGAATTTTTCCCCAGCCAGGAGGTGAAAATGCCGGGCACCTGGCAACCCTACAAACACTCAGCACCCGGCCTCCCCCCCCCCCAGCCTCTGGCCACCAACATCCCCAGCCCCTGAAGCCCAGGCCCCATGCTTCCCCTGGGTCTTAGTGCTCAACCGCTCCCCGTCCCTAGCCCTGCACTCACTCTTAAAGGGGACCTGCTCTTTTAATGCTGGTTTATTTGACATTTTACAGTTTCTATTGGCTGAATAAGTCCTTGGAATCCCTTTTTTTTGTTTAACAACTTTGGTCTCCCCCCCTTTTCCCCCTTCAACAGAATTTTTTCCCGTTTTTTGGGGGGTGTTGGGTATTCTTTGGTTCAACCATGCAAAGCATTTTGTCTCTGCATGCTCTGGTTGCCCTCACTCAGGACACCACAGAACTCGGCAACATGGAGCCAAAGCTGCCCCTGGGCACTCTGGTGCTTCTCTTGGACATGTTGCTGTGAACCTGGCTGTACTTTCTGTAGGCTGACATCCGGGAGGTCCATCGGGGGGCTGTCAGTATCCAGGAGGCCCTGTGGGAGAGCTTCCACCCTGAGGAGCACTAAGAATCTCCCTGGTCTGCCCCACTGGGGGCTTGTGCCTCATTCCTCCCTCACATCTTCCACTTACCCCTCTCTAATGCCTCTTCCTGATTTCAAATAAAATACACGTATTTTCATGAACACAAACTCTCTTTATTTAACAAAACTGGGGGGGTAGGGGAATGAAACGCTGGTGAGACTGGGGAAAGGAGGTGGGAGAGGGGAGAAGAGAGGGTGAGAGAGAGGAGGGGGAAACCTGGGAGGAGGGAGCTGGAAGGAGGAAGCAAGGGGAGGGGAAGCTCAGGGCTCAGGGTTGGGGATCTCACCGGACCAACTTGATTGTCATGCAAGCCTGCTCCTGGGTTCGCATGTGGCCTTTGGTGGCCAGGCTGGCAGCTATCCTGCCATAGATGGCCACATTCCTCCATCTAGTGCAGAGATCATGGACGTTGGGAGCATCCCCCCCACACCTGAATAAAGTCCATGACCTCCACTCTGGACCAGGAAGGCATCCACCTTCTCTGGGCCCTGGCAGGCTCCTGGGAGCTGGCAGACTGCCCCTGGGGAGTGGTGGAGGGCTGGCTGCCAGTGGTTTGCTGGCTCATTTTTCAGGGCCACTGGGTCGGGGCAGTGACTGCTGGCTCTGGGCTGGCAGGCTTGGAGCTGGAACAGGCACTGTGGCCAGAGTCTACACCTTTAAGGGCTCCAGGAATGGGGGGAGGGAGAGAAGTGTTCTTGGTTGAGGCCGGAGTGGCCACCAGGGCACCCTGGGAAGGCTGGAGGCCCCCTATTTTGATATGAGTGTCTACACAGAACTTATTTCAAAATAGCTATTTCGAATTTGGCGTTATTCCTCGCAGAATGAGGTTTACCAAATTCAAAATAAGCGCTCCACTATTTCGAATTTATTTTGAAATAGCGGTTTGGCTGTGTAGACGCTAGGAAAGTTATTTTGAAATAAGGGCTGTTATTTCGAAATAACTTTGCTGTGTAGACATACCCCTAGTCTGTAAGGTGCTGCAGGACGATTCCTTGTGGTTTAAGATTTATCTATTACAGACTAACATGGCTACCGCTCTGAAACTTTTGAAAATGCAAGATCCTGACAGTTGCACAAAGGCGAATCAGGGCTCAACCCACAGCTGGTGGTAGGCAGTGTAACTCCATTGTGTTGAGACCAGAGGAAAACCCATTGAAAGTGAGTAAACACATGGTATGCATGTCAGTGTTTGAAGACAGGCTTGAGTAAGAGAAGGGACTGGCCCTTTGAGGCTAGTGGGAGCGAGCACCTTTCAATACACATTGGAAGAGAAATTCACCCTTAAAATGCTCTAAGAAGGGAACAGAAGTGTGTTGGGCTGCAGGAGTTTTTGGTAAAGGCAAATGCTTCTTCCTGAACATTCATGTACAGCCTTGGCAGGAGGCCAAAAGGGAAAAGGCCCATCGCTAATGGGAGGTCACCGGAGGGAAAGCAACATGCAGATAAAAGCCAACATCCTTTTGTCGATGAAGAGCTAAAAGCGGCACTTTTTTTTTAAGCCAGTGACCATCACTATACATGGAGATTCAGACAACCTAGCAAGGCAAGGAGTTAGCATGCCTCCTTACTGAAGCAATACGTAATGTAAAAGCAAAGGCTTGCACCATATATCCACACACTTGGGTTGTGCTGAGTGTGGCCGAGTCCACCAGCCATTTTTCCTGTGACTCTGATCTGCCTTTTTCCTTAACACATTTATGAAAA